GAACGAAATAAACAACACAGCACAAGAGTCTTTGTCCGATTCTCCGAGTGGGTTCTTCTGTGCCTGTCGGGTTCATTCCTTGGCTAGGACGGTTAGGGGTGGCTCAAGTCTTCGGTCTTTGGGTGCTGAGTCGACCTTGGAATGCAGGAGGACCTGTGGACCCACCAAAGCACGAGTGCTGAGTGTCCTCACTGCTACCAGGCCGGTGGCACCAGGCGCTCACAGCTTCTACGGTGCGACATGGCAAGGCAAGTGTTTAAGATCAGTTCAAACATATGGAAGTGCCCTGTGGTGCTCGTCTGGTCACTACCAGAGTTTTCTCATTCTGGATGCAGATCCTGTCCCCTTCAAATCCGGCCTCGTACCAACCAGCATCACGCACAGGCCAAACAGGATTGAGAGGAAAGCAGTACCTGGATTCTGGATATTATCGGGGCCGTCATGCTCAGAATGGGCATTGGGGGTACATAATAGAATGGCTCACATAAGGGAGTCTTCATAATTAACGAGTAGTATTTGTAATTATGGAGGCTTCCATATTGCCAGCGCCGCTCTTGCTGCTGCAGGCGGATTTGCTGAGATAAAAGCACATGCAAAGATTCCCCTCCAGTCTACTCGCTGCAAAGAGTACTCTCCAGTATGCTCGCTGCTCTTCGGAAGGACAGAAGAAGATCGGGACACTTCAGTCAAACAAAGCCCTCTGAGTCAGGGTTCGTTTCGACGTCCTTTCCTATACAAGCGGACATTGCACCCGGCACCTGGAAAAGGACCGTAGCTCGAAGGTGCCCCTTAAAGTCAGAAGAAGCTGGACAGGAGGAACTGTAGTCCATGGGTCCCCTAGCTCGAACATGCTTAGTTGGATTCCAGAGTAGGATGTGCACTAGAAGTAGTTGAGGAGTACCAAGGACCAGCGTAGTCAGAAAACTAGTTATATATGGGGTAGCCATCGAGTGCAACTGGAGCGCCCTTCGGCAATACGCTCCCGCAGGAATTTCAGCAAGCCCTGCTGATCGTGGTACTCCTTGGTCCCGCGCGGGTGATTTTCGACTGTCACAGAACGGCTTCAGCATCCCTCGAAGTCCGCTTTTCTCATCGTGGCTCCCGGGCGTCCTAAGGTGTTCTTGCACCCTCACCGCCAGGCCCTGTGGGGTTGAAAGGATAAATCCCAACTCTTGACCCTCAAACCGAAGAAGTTCATAGCTGAAGGCCCCCTCCTCAAGCAAGCAAACCCCTAACTTGACGTACCAAAACAGTTAAAACACCCAGAGCCCCTGAAGCAAAGCAAACGCCGCTCACTCAGAAGCTGCGAGGACGAGGCTCCCAAGGCTTGCCGCTGAAGCCGTGCCAAACGATGAGATACTCTGAGTCCAACTCCTGCAATCCCAGGTTTCTCCTAGGTTTTTGGGGGTTTAGGCTTGGGGTTGCGGGGTTTAGGTCTCTTTAACTTCTGCACAGGCTAAGACTCAAGGGCTGATAGTCTGCTCAAGGATTTAAGTTTCTGCTTTGGGATTTGGGAATCATGCTGCGAACCCGCGTGTGCAAAGCTCTGGTCATGCTGAATGATGAACAATTACTCAGCTCAATGGCGAGAATCTCTCTCTCTCTCACACACACACACACCTGCGTAGTATCCTCTGGTACCCCTGTCGAGCACCCTGTAATCAAAAGCGAAATAACCCAGATCAGCAAGAATGGACCTGACCGCCGGGGTGGTTTCGCACGAAGCCTTGCTCAGAACGAGAAGCCGTGCGTGAGAAGCGCGCCTGTGGGAACAAGAAGTTGAAGCATTCTGCGCCGTGGCGAACCGCGCCAGAGACTTGGGTGGCTTTGATAACCTGCCACAGCGCAACAGCCAGGCAGAAGCTGAGGGAGGAGCTGATGATGTGAAATGTTCTATCTGTCATCTCGCAAACGTTCAGTTTTTCACGCCTCCATGATTGCAAAGAATTGCTTCCTGTCAGCGACCAAACAGTGGCGAAAAGCTCGTGAACTTCGTGGCGTGTTGCCTGCTGTTTTGATGCAACGCAAACCAAATCTGGAGGATTGGGTTTCAAGAAAACTCCTGAGGCTTCGGAAGCTTTCGGGCGCACAAACTCGACCTAGCATCATGAGTATGTAAAGGCTTGAGATTTGGGGCTTATAGGTTTTCGGCGCAAGGTTTAGAGGTTCAGCTCCTCACATCAGCGTGATATCCGAGCCTGCTCGATGAGACCATATGATGTAGGATCACCAAAACCATACCTGGAAATCAAAGGTCTGTGACAGCTCCGGTGTTGCTGCGGCCCGAGCGGGTGACAGGCTGGATGAAGGGCAGCATAAGCTGCGCATACTTTCTCCGACCAACATAATATGAGGATATAAGAAGAAGCCTACCTCTCTGCTGAAGCCGGAGCCAGCAGAATCAGCATCATGAGCCCAAGCCCGGCAAGCATCATCGGCATCAGCTGCGAGGTGCCTTGCCAATTTCCAAAACATCGGCGAGCATCATCAGAGGGTGCCTCGCCCCCATCAAGAAGCATCATCAGCATCTGCTGCGGCGTGCTCTGCTGTTCTCTGAACACAAAGAATATCATTACCATTATCTGCCGGTTGCCTTGTCTCGGTGAAGCAGAATCTAACTAGCGACATCGTCAGCATCGGAATGAGTGCTGGATTGCAGCTCTGGCAAGCATCATGAGCATCAGCTACCAAACCTTTCCTCGAACCTCTGCCAAAGCCAGGGCGAGCATCATGAGCATCAGCTGCAGGGCGCTTTGGCCAAGGCCGGCGAGCATCATCAGCATCAGCTGCGAGATGCTTTGCATTCCCCCACCCACGGTTAGCCTTGAGAAGCCGATGGTGAGCCACTCTGCCCAAGCCAAGCCGGACAAGCATCACGAGCTGACCAAGGCCTGGCGAGCATCATCAGCATCAGCTTTGGTGTGCTTTGCATGACCAAGCCCGGCGAGCATCAGCGCGGTGTGGGTTGCATCCCGCCGCCCTGCCCAAGTTCTGTGAAGAGCAGCATTGGCCTTGATAAGCCGATGGTGAGCCACTTTGCCCAAGTCAAGCCGGACAAGCGTCATGAGCATCAGCTGCAGGATGCTTTGCCGCTCTGACCAAGCCCGGCGAGCATCATGAGCATCAGCTGCAGGATGCTTTGCCGCTCTGACCAAGCCCGGCGAGCATCATCAGCATCAGCTGTGGTGTGCCTTGCATCCACCCTCCCTGCCCGAGTTCGGTGAAGAGCAGCGTTGGCCCTGATAAGCAAGTCGGGCAAGGATCATGAGCATCAGCTGCAAGGTGCTTTGCCCCTCTGGCAAAGCCCGGCGAGCATCATCAGCATCTGCTGCCGCGTGCCTTGCATCCTCAGCGTTAGCCTTGAGAAGCCGATGGTGAGCCACTCTGCCCAAGCCAAGCCAGACAAGCATCATGAGCATCAGCTGCAGGATGCTTTGCTTCACAGAATTCGGGAAGGAGGGGGGATGCAAAGCACACCGCGCTGATGCTGATGATGCTCGCCGGGCTTGGTCAGAGGGGCAAAGCACCCTGCAGCCGATGCTGATGATGCTTGCCCGACCTGGGCAGAGTGGCTCACCATTGGCTTATCAATGCTCTTCACAGAACTCGGGCAGGGAGGGGAGATGCAAAGCACAGGCCACAGCTGATGCTGATGATGCTCGCCGGGCTTGGTCAGAGTGGCAAAGCATCCTGCAGCTGATGCTCCTGATGCTTGTCCGCCTTGGCTTGGACAGTGTGGCTCATCATCGGCTTATCAAGGCCAACGGTTGGGGGATGCAAAGCACCCAGCCACTGTTGCTGATGATGCTCGCCAGGCTTGGCCAAAGGACAAAGCATCCTGCAGCTGATGCTCATGATGCTTGCCCGACTTGGGCAGAGTGGCTCAGGGACGGGGATGCAAAGCCCACAACAGCGGGCTTCAGCGTTAGTCTTGATAAGCCGATGGTGAACCACTCTTCGAGCCAGGCGAGCATCATGAGCATCAGCTGCAGCGTGCTTTGCCTCTCTGCCCAGGCCAGGCAAGCATCACTAGCATCAGCTGCAGGCTGCTTTGCCGCGCTCAGCATGCCCATGAGCATCAGCTGCGGGGTGCTTTGCGCTCTCTCCGCACAAGCAAGCTCTGTGAAGGTCAGCATAAGCCGTCATCAGCTTTGCCGGACAAGCATCATTAGCATCAGCTGCAGGGTGCTTTGCCCCTGACCAAGCCCGGCCAGCGTCAGGTCACGATCAGCATGAACTGCGGGGTGCAAAACCCCTGTCCGTGCTCTGTGAAGAGCAGCAACAATCTTGATAAGCCGATGGTTCGCCACTCCGCCCAAGTCGAGCAAGCATCAGGAGTTTCAGCTGCAGGGTGCTTGACCCCTCTGACCAAGCCCAGCGGCGTGCTTTGCGTCCCCCTTCCTGCCCATGCTCGGCGAAGAACGGCATTTGCTGCGGTTCCTTTCCCTACCCAGGCTGAGCGAGCATCATGAGCCGCTTCCTCCGCATTTAGCCCAAGCCGGCAAACATCAGCTGCTCGCTTTGCAAGTCTGCCCACCCGGAACGAAATCATGAGCACCAGCTGCAGGGTGCTGTGCGAGTTTGCACCAACCCGGCGAGCATTCTCAGCATCATCTGAGGCGTGCTCCGTCCCTCAGCACGAATCTGAAACGGTTGTCCATCACTACTGCATTGCAAAGCACTGTCAGACCCGCCCTGCCCAGCACCTCCTGTAGTACACCCTACCTCTGATGCTCACCTTGCTCGGTTCGAGCCTCGAACTGGGCAGCTGGAATCTAGAATCAAACCACCTGCCTCCGCACCCCGCCCTGCGAAATGGAACGAGCGAAGCTAGAAGTTTACGAGCATGCAGGGATGCCGCTTACACCGCAAGTCGCGCTGCAAAATTTCAGGAAGCATCCTTGCAATACCGAGGTGCGGCGGAATTTCAGGTCGTCTGCCTTGCTTGGCGGCTTCGCTGAGGACCTGCCGAAGGCGATGAAAGGATCGGCCTTTGACAGGGCTGCTCCACTGGCAAGGAAGTAATGCCCTAAACCCTAAACCTTGATCCTGACGTTGCGGGTGCAAGGCTTCAAGTGCCTTGGCATTGTGGAGAGACATCTTTCCAAAAGGCAGAAACTATGATCTAAGTTTTCTACCGTCTCTTAGACCCTATACAACCCCTAAACCCTAAACCCCAAGCATTGTAGCGATTACAGTGCTATGCAGGCTAGGCTTGCACTGCCCGAGACCGCAGCTTGGAGCTTCGATCTCTCTCTGGGGCTTAGACATAGCTTGCTTCTTTCGCACTCTACTTTTTCGTTTAGGGCTTCGGTTTGAAGTTTAGGGTGCAGGGTTTCCAGTGTAGGGTGTATGGCTAAGGAATGAAGAACCAGTAAGCCGAACATATAGACAAGTTGGCTTCTGGAGTAGGGTAGAAAACTGCCAAAGATTTTGTGATGTGGCTGGTTGACCGCGAAGAAGGGTCTTTTGTGATTTGGTGTCACGTCACTCTGGAAGCCGCTCATGTCACAAGCAATTCAGCCTCAACCCACAAGCCTCAAATCTCTCCAAAAGCCCTAAACCGTGCGAAACCCCTACAAGGCATAACACCCCTGAGGCCGAACAACCCTGCAAATCCCCAACCCCTTGTAGTCGCATTAACTAAACACCGACTGTAGGAACCCGTGTAAACTGCTCAATCCCAAATCCTCGGAACGCCGTTTGACCCCACAGCATAACATCGCGCCCTGAATAGCCCTCAAAAGCCTTCTTTAAAGGCCGATAAACCATTGGATATTCAAACCAAGCCTCCGCAAAAGCCCTTAATTTTTTTTGCAAACGCTTTAAAAATTATTGCTTTCCACAACTTGTCTTGAAGCATACTAAACCCCTAGAAACGTCGTATCAAAACCTTTACCTTTTACAAAACTCTGAGCTCAAGGCTTTGAGCCACCGGGACGTCCAGGAGTCGGAGTTCGGCTGATTGAGGATCTCCCTGGCACGGAAAAGGTTTAGGGTTTTTTCCCTCTCGCAAGACTGAGGACAATGATCACAAGCGAGGCTGCTCTAGCTGTAAGGAATGTGCAAAGCTCAGAAAGCAAAACCCCCGCATCGAACATTATCCCTACGATAAGACCAGTAACCGGTGTCGAAAGAGGGGATTCCCACAGAATGAGCTGATCCAAGCGAAATCTATCCCAACTAGCCATACACAAAGACTACCTCAGGGTGTCGGCAAGGATTCCTACAGGGCACCACTAGACAGTGAGTTCTACAAGAGAGCTCACTGTCAGGACTCAGCAAGCATCGAAAGTGTTCAAGACTCATAGGTTTGCATGCACTCATGTTCCGCAGCAAAATGCCAACTTGAATTAATCAGCCACATCTTCAGTCCCAAACATCCGAAAAGCAGTGATGTTTGGGTTTTCAGGGTTAAGGGTTTGGCGTTTACGGAATGCAGTGGCTTAGGTGCTTATGGGGGGTACTTAAGCGGGTTGGATTTAGGGTCGAGGGCTTTGGGAGGAGCTGGGTTTCAGAGATCGGAGCTGGAAATTCGGGGTATCTCTTTCACCTATGCTCCAATCCGATGGGTCTTCTTCTCAAAAGCCCGCTAAACCCCAAAACCGCCAAACACCAAACAACCCCGAACCCGCACCTGGTACGATCTAAACTCCAGAGTTCCAGCTCCATCTGATCAGGCGGCAGCCGCTCGTAGCGCATTCCCTTGCTGCCTTGGAATTTAGGGCTTAGGCTTTTAGAGATTGCGGGTTTAGGGTTTTAGGGGGAGCCAAATCGCCGATCTAGGGTTTGTGGATACTGCAAAAGCTGTGTAGATGTCACTCACACGCAACATGCACATTCATTTGTTTTGAAGTTCTTGCTTCGCCTCGGTTTTGGGTGTACGGCTTGCTACGACGGTTCTGTGGATTCGCCACGTGCATCTCTTTGGCTGGCAACTGGGGTGTGAGTGGAGATCGGTTCCCAGTTCGAGGTATGAGGTCCAGCGCATCTCGCCTGCAGAACTTGAGGCCAAATCGGAAGCCAGCGTGATCTCTGCACAAGTTGAGCCTAAAGAGAGAGACAGGGAGAGATGGATAGGGGGAGAGACAGAGAGACAGAGAGAGAGAGAGAGAGAGCGAGACAGACAGGCAGAGAGAGAGAGAGCGAGAGAGAGCGAACTAGATCCTCGCTGCTGGGGCGATTTGGGCCCTGTGTATATACCGACATACATACGTAAATACATACATGTATGTATGTCTGTCTGTATGTATGTATGTGTATATATATAGATAGATAGATAGATAGATAGATAGATAGATAGATAGATGGATGGATAGATGGATAGATCGATAGATCGATAGATAGATATATAAATAGATAGATAGATACACATGCATATATAACTGTAAAAGCTATAGGTACACCTGCATGTAAATATGTGTGTGTGTATAGATGTACATATCTCTCTCTATATATATGTATATATATATAGTTATATGGATAGAAGATTGTATGTACATGTATGTGTGTGGCTATATGTACATGTAAGTATATATATATACACACACACTTACACATACATGTGTGTGGATAAATGCAAGTGTTGACCTCACACTCTTGGTTGTGCCCTGGCCATTGGCTCCGACACCTAGGCCCCAACAAGTTTAATTCGAACCTGCCAACAGAGAGCAGCGTATCTGCTAATCTCTCTCTCCAGACCATCAACTCGCCACACTAAACCCTAAACCCAAAAAACATCATTCGGAGGCTCGGAGGGGCTCAGCGGAACCGCTGGGAGGTGGCAGGGCACGGAGGGATTGCATCTGCAATGAAGGGAGTTTAGGGCTTACGTTGCGGGCTTCCGTTTTTCGTGAGCTGTCTTAGAAATCAGCCTCTTAGTCCAAAATCTTAAGCCCCACACAGACATTCGAAGGTTCAGAAAACTCGCAACTGCATCCCAAGAGCCCACCGTGAAGGTGTCAAAGTCGGAGACAACCGGCTTGACGGTTCGCACCACTTTGCTGCTGTGTGGAGCTGTCCACTCCTCCGCTTAAGGAAGCTCTGAATCTATCTGCTTGTCTGTCTATCTATCTATCTATCTACCTAGCCGTCTAAGAACTTCTATGCCTTGATCCGTGTACATGTCTCATGTGTGTGCATAGCGGCTAGCGTGCATTTCACTCTCTCTCTCTCTCTCTGCGTACGCCGGCAGTCGGGGCATGCAAGCCACATGCAGTACTCGTATCGAGATCCGTAAAAACACATGTCCACCCACATAACTTTCAGCGGAGGCTTTGGCAGCTACAGCAGAGAGAAACTTCGGACGCACTTTCCGAACTCCTGCAACCACAGACTAGGAAGACTCCCTCCCAGATCTCCAAACCCTACATCGCAAAAGCGAGCAACCACCGAAGGCAACGGAAGCACTTGGTCCTCTGCATAGGCGATGAGGAGGCCGTGCGGATTCATGGGGTTGGTTGCATCGTACTGATAGAGCACCACCTCCGTCTAGTGTGTAGTGCTTTTGGGTTTGAGGTAAAGAAGGGGTGGGCGGCTGGATCAATCCTTCGCAAGCAACAGTCAAACGGGCTACAGCTGACCATGTCGTTGCAGGCTGGATTTGGGCGGGTGAAACGAAGTCCTGTCCGGTCCACTATCGTGACATCCAAAAGGTGGGTGCCCCTTTGTGCAGAAGAAAAATCCTTTTCAATATCATCCCATTGTTTGGAGCCTACTCTCAACCCCAACCAGCACTCCCCATGCCCCGAAGTGGTTCAAAGTGGCTCGCGGATTGCTCTTCTCGTCGCGGACAGCGTGCAAGTTCCTGGTGATCTGCTTGGGGGCTGTGTATTAGTTTAGGTTCAAGGTTTACGAGTTACAAGGGCTTGGTGCAGGGTACGATACTGGGGCTTCTGGGTTTTATTTGGCGTCTTTTCTGTAAGTTTAAGAAGTCTTTTTAACGTGTCTGTCTTCGTGGCTGCTACTGTCTGAAGCTCCTCCTGCGTGACAAGCACGAGTGGCATTTCTATATCGGCCAGATGAAGGGAAGCCTAACAGGGAAAGCAAATCATAGGATACATGCTCTCAGCAAATCGTGCAAACCGGACACATGCGGAAACACTCACTGTATTCTACCACCCTTCTGCCCTCTCCTTAAGAAGCGTAAACCCGAAATCCTAAAACCCTGCAGCCCTTAACACCCGACAGTTGACACACGGCACAACCTCGCATGGCCGGTGCTGAAGCCTGCGCACGACAACGACACAGCATCAAGATGCAGAAATCCCCGAGACGCCGGGGAATCAATTTTCGGTCAAGGAAAACCTGAACACCAGTAGCTGAACCACAAAACCTGACACCTGCCGCCGTGGCTCATGTCCATGAAGGCCGGTTCGGAGTGGCGCCCCGTCTCCCAGCCCGCTTGGAACTGGATGTCCTGTCGAAGCTGGTGGTGTGTTTAACGGTTTAGGATTTAGGGTTTAGGGTAAGGTTGCTTTTATTTGTTAAAGGGGCTTGCTAGGTTGTGAAGAGTTTCTCAGGGCATTCTTAATTCGCCGGGCTGCTTAGGGTCTGGTCATGTTGGTTCATCAGGGTCTTGGCGGATGTTCGCCGGGCGTTAGGGTGTAAGATGGCTTAACTGTGGGGTTTTTGTTGAGGCGTTTCTGTTCTATGTGAGAGTGAAAGAAAGGCGAGAGAGAGAGAGCGAGTGCGAGAGAGAGAGAGAGAGAGAGAGAGACAGAGTGAGAGGGACAGAGCGAGTGCAAGAGCCAGAGCGAAAAGGAGGGAGGGTCTTTAGCTTTCGTTTGACAGAGGCTTTAAGGTTTGAGCTTTCAATTCTATAAGGGCTCTTAGGGTGTACATGGGTTAGCTGAGTCTTGGCGAGGTGTCGGAGTAACGAGGGGCAAGCAACACAAAGGTTAGAGATGAAGGTTTTAAGGTTTTTGGGATTGTTGTTTCCCACCCGCTTCGCTGTTCGGGGTCAGGGTTTAGCAAGTTGTCTGGTGTTGTCTTCCTCTGTCTGCTACGACCCAAAACACCTTTCGCCAAAACCCATTACTTGCAGCAGTTGCAGCACTACCTGCTAAATTGCGTGGCCTGCTGGTTCTCTTCGCTTTGGGCGGGTTTCAGAGGGCTCGTCGCTTCCTGGGTTCCTCTGCTCTTTGTGAACCTCTGTTCAGTTTTTGAGTTGTCAGCCTGCAGACCTCGAAGAGTCTATAGGGCTTAGGTTCAGAGGGTTTCGTGTTTAGGAGTATCGTTTCCGGCTTAGGGATTTGGTTGAGGGATTGGGATTGAATTACTGACGATTGAAAGGATTATGGACGCCTGAAACCACAAAGGCCCCAGTACCCAAAACCGGGAAAATCCTGCTTGTCGATGTAAACCATGCGCATGAGCGTCTCCGGCACGCGTGCCCCAAAAGCATCTGCAGAAAAGCCGGCTGCTGGAGGCTTCGCAATAAAGAACAAGCTGGTTATGATGATTTTATCTATACTTCATCATTATTACTACTTTTTCAGTTATTACGATGGATTCGGTCTGAACGAAGACTGAGTCATTGCGGAGATCCACACCTCTGGCCAGAAAGTCAAGCTGTTCTGTCCACTTCTAAACTAAACCATTCCTTCTGTCTTCCATAATCAGGGAATCCTGCTAGCACTGGAGCTGGAGTCAGTTTGGTGTCGAGGTGGGGCTCAAGGACTCACCCAAGTCACCGGGTCTCCCCCCCAGCTAAATGGCGTTGTATACCATTCGCAGCTTCCTGCTGTTATTCACTTGATCCTACCTAACTTCGATGTGAGCTCCATGAGAACTGCGTAGGCCCACTACAACGACCTCAGTCGCAGCTCTCTTTCATTTGGCCTGACCTGAGCCCGATACTAACAACTCTTCTCAGCACTGCTTGAACCATATCTTGCCCGGACCTGGGTAGCTATCGTCCAGGGTAATGGCGTGGTCTCGGTCATCACCTCTTTGCCGAAAGCAACCAGGCAGCAGCAAGTCAGATATTGGGGTCCGACATGGATTCTGGTTTCAAGGTTGACAGGGTTGGAGAGATCTGCGCAGCGAGCGGCACCGGCAAGGAATACACTTCTTCCTGAGATCGCTTCCTGCGGACCTATGCCCAACGGCGTAAGCAAGATGTGACAGCTTTTGATGATGGCGTGACGGTTACTATGCTGAGGATGGCTTCTCTTGTTATTGCTGCTGTTCGCTGCCGCTGTATTCTTCTCGCTGCTATTGCCATGGATGGTTGCCCCTACGAACTACCACCACACGAGTTCTGCTACGACCATGCTACTACTTGTGCTGGTGATGGTAGCAGCGCGATTGCCACAGTCACCTTACAAGTCCCACAACGTTTGTGTTTGAAGCTGGGCTCTACTAACCTCTAGCTCATGTCAGGACGGGGGGAGGTCAATGAGGAAAGCAGTTGCAATCACACTGATTACTCTTACGGATGATGGAGCCCGAAAGCCCAGCGCCTGCCCTTTGGGAAGACACACCCGGGTCTATGCATATGCCAGGAACCGAGACCCCAGACCCTAAACCTTCCAACCTTAAGCTTCTGCAAACCTGAACCCAAACGGCTGAATTCCCTGAACCCACGGCATCGTAGTCTGAAGCCGAAACTCGGCTTGATCAGCCAATGCTCTGCGACACTAATGACGCCAACAGCCGTGACAGCCAGGCTAGCAGTAGTAAGGGAGAGACTCAAAAGAGTCTCCTACTCCTGAACAGTAGTACTAAGCAGCATAAGTCATTCTGGCAAGAATCAAAACAAACCTCAACTACGCCGAAATAGGGGAAGCGATGTCTGCAACTCGGTCAGTGGTAGAAGGCGGCAGATGCAAGGTCTAAGAGTTTGGAGTCCCGATTCTGACGTGGCCAACCTGTCCACGCGCCGCCGATGGCAGCAGCATCCCGCATCTCCTGCAATGCGATCTCTCGGTCTGGCTTGGTGTCGTAGTAGATCGTCACCTGGGAGCGGCATCCTTCGGTACATAGCGCCCGGTAGCCAGAGACGTCAACCCCAACATACACTTGTTGTGATTCGTTTGAGTTCTGCCAGTGCCAGCGGTATAGTGGCGGCGGCTTTGTCTTTTCGGACATGAAGTCTGAAGTCTCAGGCGCAGGTTGAAGTAGCAAGACATTGGTCCAGAGGTCAGCTTTCAGTTTCGAGAGAGAGAACGTTTGGATGTTCCGAACAGCAGTGCCGAAGGCCTGCGCTGCACAGCTTGGAAGCCGCTTTGTTGCATTAAATGCACGTTTTGCATTGCAGCCAAGTACATGAGGCTTTGCAGGGGTGACAGAGGATTTCGGCCTGGGACCACCAGTGCCGAAAACGATGCATGTTGATTCCGCCTCACTTTGTTCCACCGGTCCCCAGAGCAACTCTTAAGGCCTTCTTTATCTTGCCCGCAACGGGGTGGAATCTTCTCATAGTTAGCTAGATCTCCTCAAGAACAATATTCTGGTACAGAATAAATACATTAATTCAGAAACACCTCCCGCCAAGCAAGCAGCTTGCTGGGTTGGAAGTTGTAAAAAATGCTAACAAAACTTACAAGTGCATGAACTACGTCTACTACAAAAGAACAGGAAGTTCACCTTGTTGAACCTTCCCTGTGACAACAGCACTGAAAAACGTCAAACAGAGCGGGGATCCCTCACTCACACACACACACACTGTCTCTCTCTTTCTCTCTTTCTTTTTCCTTCTCGTTCACAATGGTACAGAAAAGGGGAGCGACCGCTTCTCCTGCGCTCCAGGCGCACACCCCACATCTCTCTTTCTTTTTTTCTTTCTTTCTGTCTGTCTTTCTTTCTGCAGGTCTGGGGCAGGGGTTGCCCCTTGCTGCGCGTCAGCGCACCCCTTTTTACAGTGGAAAGAACGACGGAAGCAGAGAACCTAGGTGTACCATCTCTCTTTCTCCCTCTCTCTCTAGCGTCAGGCAGAGCACCCTACCGGAGACCCTACCTACTGTGTAATTACTCCTTGGCCAAGGCACGAAGGCATCTGGAGGCGGATTTTCTATCTTGTTCTTGTCTGCGTTGTCGTGGATTTGCAGAAACCTGACCACCACGATTGCATCCGGTATCATGGCTGCTGCATCACAATTCTCAAGCGCCTGCTAAACCCCAAAGAAACCTGCATGTCACGACAAATACTCTGCATGAACACGACTTGATATTCAGCTTCTCACCCACATCCCACCATTCAAAACAGAGCATGGGGGAATAGTATTGCTGAAAGCTTGCCCTGCGCTCAGCATAGCATAACCATCATCTTCATTTGGCTCGAGTTCTTTCTCCCACAGATCGATGAACGGAGCAGTCCCAGGAGCACGTCCAAGAGCTTTGGGTTTTGGTGGGCATATAAATGGTGTCACGGTTTAAGGTCTGGTAGGGTTCTTTGTATCTCGCGGGGCCGATTCCGAATCCTCTGTCATTTCAGCACTGAAAGGCAGACAGTGCCAGTGCAGCGCCGATACTTCTATCCTCAAGTGACCATGGGTTGGTCATGGTTGATGTTGCAGGATTCATTGGCGCTCCAGGTTTCAAGTCTGGGCTTCGGGGCATCGGGAAATAGCAACGGGACACCCACCGCCTGGTGCAAAAACCCGCAAGCCTCAACACCAAAACACCAAGCATTGGGGTGTACGGCGCAATGCCCTACAACTCTGGTGGCCTGAACCCTCGAAGCCGGCAACGCCTGCAAAAATCACGGAAGGGTACAACAAGGGTACTAGAAGGGTTACGACAAAGGTGTTTTCAGCCATACATCCGAAAGCCCTATAGAGCACTAACTTCTAGCAGGCCAAGAGGCGGGACAAAGCCAGACAAGCGGTTCCTCTTCGCTGACTTGCCCTTCCTTGTACAAGTTTGCGGGGGTCTGTGGGGTCCAGGACCAAGACTTGTTGAACAGTAGTGCTGAGCATGGCTTGATGTTCAGGCTTCGGCAAGCCCGGGTGGCCCGTTAGTTTCAGACACCCGCTTCTTGGGTTTCGGTCTTCGGATCGTACCCGACACTAGGCGCGCAAAGGATCCGGTCCGCAGGAAATCTAAATCCTCAGCCGGGACACACATTGAGCCCCTTTCCGACAGCAGTTTGGTTGAGCATCTTTGCAAGGGCATCGCCTGAGCAAGGTGCGGCTTAGCAGCCGACTGCTGGCGCTTACAACCAGCGTGATTCAGTACTCTTGGCTCTGCCAAGAGCTTCAAAGCTTTCCTCGGAACAAGCCTCACGCCATTACTATGGAAGGAAACAATCCCGAATCGGTTCCAGAACCCCGAATGTTGCACAATTTGTGGAGCATCTACGACCAGAAGGGTGCGACCTCCTGCATATGCGGATAATTCGTAAGCTTGTCCCCGTCGCAAGATTGGATATCAGGAACCAGTAAACCCATTGCTACTACGCGGACACTACGAAGACGCGAGACAATAGCAGTATGAATACTAGCCAAGACATCGCTGGGTGACCGGTCTCTATGACACCCAAAAACATCAAACACGGTAAGCTTTAAGTCAAACCTGAACCCTATGAGCCCTAACCCCGAACTCTTTAAACCCGTAGACCCCTATACTCTATAAGCCCCAACTAAACCTCTAAACTCTGAACACCGAAAAACCAAAAAACAAGGCACGGCTGGTGGGCCGGTAGACGGCAAACCAATGCGTTTCCGAGGAAGGCCCCGGTGCCTGCACTGATGCATCCACTCAAAGAGGCTTGCGGTTTAAGGGCTTTCAGGGGCTTGGGGTCCAGGGCTTTCGGGGTGTAGAGCTTAGGATACTCAGTTTCTTGATAATATTCGCTTGACCATAAGGTTTTATGGGTTTCTGCAAGGGTTCCTAGTGGCTTTACGATGGACCACCCTGAGCCGCCGTTAACCACAAGCCCAGAACCCGGACTTTTGCGCCCTTTCAGTCCTACACCCCTCCACGCCCTAAACCCTAAACACCCAAAACCTGCCGCAACGCCCATACACCTGGTTCAGCACCTAAACATGTAACATGCTGAAAACCCTAGCTGCCCTTCTAAGACAAGACCAAAAATCTCCTCTTAAATCTCCGAAACCACAAAAGCACACACGCCCCATGTCCTTTTCTTAAAGCCCCGAATCCTGAACTTCAAATCCTCAGCCCCTTCCTTTTGCAGCACCCAAAATCTCTCCCTAAACCCTAAACCCTGAACCCCAAACCCTCTTGCAGTTGGCTTTGCCTCGTCTTCTCCTTAGCTCCCTCTGCCCTAAACCCTCAACCCCCTTAAGGACATCACGAACCCCAAGTTATCCCAGAAACCCTAAACCAAAAGGCCTCGATGCCACGGGGCCCTCGGCGGCTTCCAGGGCTCCAGAAGTCGGCAAGAGCCTTTCAAGTCTTATATATATATATATATACCTATATACACCTATCTATATATATATATGTAATGACAGTATTGATCAGAGTGAGAATAGCAAGAACAGGAATACTAATCATGAGCATAGTAATAGTCATCTTCGTGAGAATAAGCAGGTGAGAACCTTAACAATAACACAAAAAGAAGACTAAACATCGATGTGTGTGTATATATATATATGTACACATGTTTATACACACATATGTATATGTATCTATATATATATATATCGATCGATAGCTAGATAGATAGCTAGATAGATAGAGTATATCTACAATACATACATGCTTCTGTGTGTTGAAAGGGTCCTTGGGGTTGCTAGAAGTTGAACAGGGAATTGCTTGTGTCTGAAACAAAATTTCAATGGTTTTCGAGGGTGTTTTCAGAATGTAGTAGTGGCTTTAAGGGCATTTTAACACTACGGGCCTTACAGAGTTGTTCAAAGCACTTGTGTGTTGCTTCTGTTGTATGAAACTCCGCTGGCCTTTGAAAAATGAGATTGTTTTTTGTCAAAGCTTCAAGGGCTTTGTGTTTTTCGGCTACAGCGTTTCACAAAGTCTTATGAGGCTTGCTTATTCCTATCTAGGTGTGGCAAGGCTTCGGGTTTACCCGGGCTTCAAGCGCTTCGCAGCTTCTTGGCGTCGTGTAGGGCTTGAGACTCAATCATGGGCTCAGACTCTCACAGCGAAGCAGGCACTTCGGGATGGAGAGTTCAGGGTTGACCACACATAGCTTTCGAAGATGTTGCCTGCAACGGCACTTTCAACTCCGCAGATTGCTGCGACCCCAACTAAACAACCGAAGCCAAAACCCGAAATCCCAATTCCCCAACATTGCCAAACCTAGTCGCCTTGATAAATCCACTAGGGTGCTGAGGCATGTTTTACTGTAATATCCAAAAGCCATAACAGGGACGATAAGGGATATCACCGGAACTTCCGAGCCCCAAACCCCGAAGCCCTTTTTCTGCTGAACCCTGCAAACGAAATCATCCTCTGTAACTCGGTCATTTATCGAGTCTACACTGTTCCTTAGCCAGCAATGTGTTCTCCTTGTCTGTGAGTTTGATCCCAACACATCCTTTTCACTTTAGGGATTATAGACATGGGGAAATCCGGAAGGAAGAATAGAGTTTTGGGGTATAGTATAATATAAATATATGAACGAACCCTCAAAATAGAATCAGGCCCTAAACCTAAACCCTAAACCCTAAGCTCAACCGCAGAAGATCCTGTGCCGGCCTTTCTCGGGTCGCAGGCCTTGCAGCACACGGGTCTCCAGTCTAAATCGTGGGACTGCGGTTTCCAAGTATGTTCTAGGAGGCTTCCGAATATTTCGCAAGGTTTCTTTGCATTTCCCGATATTTCCTGGGGATTGATAGGGCTCCGAAAATTTTGTCAATGTCTCCGCAGATGTCTTGAGGTTCCTTGGTCTTCGTTTGCAAGCTAGGGCGGCGACATTGAGTCTGCTTGGTTTCTGGTGCATCTCATGTTGAGGGATGAGGGCTTCGACTCCCATGGGACGAGCGAATGCAGGACCCTCGGAGTAAGCTGGTTCTTCTTTCAAGAAGCGAACAGACTTGTATGTAAACATATACATGCACACATAAGGAAATGTAGACCTGCTAGGTACCTACCAACAAACAGAAGGACATGCATGTGTATGCATGTATGTACGTATGTATGTATGTATGCATGCATCTATGTATGTACATCTATATATATATATACAAATATGCCATATACCTCTATATACGCACATAGCGGACAGGACCAGTGCCAATTCAGCGGGGTTTCATGTCGGTCAGTACCAGGAGCTGTTCTGCTGTTTTGATGTTCGTATACTTGGTACGTAGAGCATGTGTTAGGTGGGAGGCCCGAACATTGCTTCAGCATGCGATTCTGCCTCGTGCAGCATGCAACAGCCTATACTTCTAGCAAGTAGATGTGGAGCAGTGGCGGCAGGCCAAACTGCATACATTGATATTGACACTTGGGCACGGAGCTCACAAACACCAACTTCGATCTAGATGTCCCGGATCTCCCCCAAGCTCTGAAACCAAGCTCATGGGCAAGAACCTCACCCAACCGCGGAAACGTGAACCTCAGAAGTCATAAATCTCGCTCGAAACTCTGAACCTCTATACTCACTGGCATGGTTGCAGGCTGAGCGGCGTAATTTTCTCGTTGCTTTAGCTCCAGCTCTACCTGATCGGATCGAATCTCAACGATGCTCTGATTGCCGTATGCGGCTACTGGATTTCGCTAATTCTTCGATGCAAGCAAGACCCCCTTCGCAAAAGGATGTCTCGATTAACGGCTGGCCTTACCTTTTGAACTCCAACCCTTCAGCCTGCATTTTGTTTTTTGAAGTCCTTGACTCACTTCGTGGATTAGGTGAGGTGGGTTCATGGAGCTGGAAACAGGGAACATGTAATATTCCCACAGCAACAACACAAGCAAGAGCAACGCAGGATTGACAGGGGACACCGGCCTTTATCCGAGCCCTGAACCTCTGTGACAACCCCGAAGTTCAGGGCGCGGAGTCGCGGGCTCAAACGGGCACTGGAGGGGAGGCTGAAGTCGCTCAAGGTGGCGGTTGCAAAAATGCACCGGACACTTTCGACTCCTGGTTTGTCGAACGCGGCCTAAACCATTAAATCCTAACCCTGACATCAAACCGTATTAACCCCTAATGAGCTAAATGCAGCCTGAGGGCCAGCCTTTCGAAAGTATCCCGATCAAGCACGAGCCTCGCCGAAAGATGGAATTGGGGTGTGTTGTGTGAAAAAAACCGGGCCTGAGGAGACGTGACGGTTCATGAGGTCATTAGGGCTTAGGGTTTACCTGGTTTAAGGATTAGGTGCTTGGGGTTTCCGGGTTTAGGGTTTTTTTTCCCTCCGCCGGGTTTAGGGTTTTAGGGTTTCGGGTTTAGGTGTTTGGGGTTTAGGGGCTGAGAGTACAGCCGCGGACGCGAAAGATTCACACAGACTCCCTATTCGTCTGGCTGCTTTCGCTGTGGGTCGCGGAGTGGGCGGCAAACCCAGCTCAACCCACAACGAGGTTCGAGTTAAAAGTGCGACAACCCCTTGTGCAGTCAGCCCGACTTGCTCGAGCGATCTACAACAGAGTACTGAACCCTGTACCTTGTAAGCCCGAAACCCTATAAGCCACTCCATAGTCAGCCAAAGTACTGGCCATAGCCCCTGAGACCCCTAAAGCCCGAACCTTAGCCCCATAAACCCCTGAACCCAGATCCCGAACCCTTGAAATCTTTGCCACAGGAGCAGTTCCACTTCGGTCTTTGCCTAGAGGGGCAGGTTCTGGGACTTGCAGGCTTCAAATCTTACGAGGCTTTAGGCTTTAGGTTGGGTACTGCCCCCATAGAGTCACAATCTACAGGGCGACTACTAAGGGCCTTATATATCCATATTGTCAATATTACTCAACGGGTACTGACGGGGGGGGGGGGGCAGTAGCCAAGCTTAGGGGGTTTAGGTGCTTGGGATTTACAGTGGTTGCGTCGCTTTTGGCCTGGACCCCAAACCCTATAAACCATGGGTTTAAAGGTCCATTAGGGTTTAGGGTTTAGGATTTAGGGTTTCTGGACCCCAAACCCCTATAAACCATGGGTTTAAAGGTCCAGTTTAGGGTTTAGGATTAAGGGTTTCTGGACCCCAAACCCCTTTTAACCCTGGGCTTCGAGCGTGTCTCCATCCCGAAACTGAGAGAATGCAAGGAGGAACCCAGAGGCTCCCGATGTTTGGGGTCGTGTGGTCGTGGGGGGTTAGGGGTTAGGGGTCAAGGGTAAGGTTGGGAGTTTAGGGGTTATAGGGGTCAAGGGTAAGGGTTTAGGCTGTGAGGTTTAGTAGTTTTTGTTGCTTGCGGTTTGGAGATCCAGATCTTGGGATCTTAGCAAGGGCAAAGCCACCAAAAGTCAATCTGCCGTCGGGAAGAGCCCTGCGAAGCGTGATGGAAAGGCCTACTAAGCAATTTCAAAGGATTTGAGACGCCTTGTGGATTCTGGGCTTACAAACATTTTCAATTTATAAGGAACCGTAAGGAATAGTGAATAGTCGTACTGATGATTCGACCACAATATATAACATGGCTTAATATGGGAATCATAAGACTTCAACTCCTTTCCACAGGCAAGCTGCCGTCACGTTTGCTGCACGCGTCTTTCGGTGAATAAAACCAAGCTCGCCAAAACGCTGGCCTGCTTTAAACATGTGCGGGAGCTTATGGAATGGAGCTTTGTCTTTTCGGGGTTCTGAGTCGGCCGTGGGGTGGTCGGTGATGAATGCTATTGCATCTAACTCTTTTTCGACTCCACTCCTTTACAATGTAGGGACTGCCCCCTCCAATAACATTTTGTCTTAGGAGTTGCCTTCGCAGCGTGTGGAGTAGGATATCTAGTTTCACGGCTTCCACACCTTCAGTGCCGAAGGTTTGGAAAAGTGGTGTCCCACAGCTTCTTGGATTCGGGAAAGGACTTCATCTTTGGTTGCGATGGGCCCGGATCTTCATTGCGTGAAGCCACCTTGAAGCCCGAGGCCCTGCAAAGCTAACGTGGACGTAGCTATAATGACTCAGCTGCCGAATCGAGCACGCAAGTTGCAAGACCCACTCCTTGCCCTTCTAAGATCCTTTGCTCAGGGCAAGAGGTCTGTTCCAGTCTTCTGCCTCCCAAATTCCCACACGACCATGAGAAAGTAAGCTGTTCGTGCCCTTCTACGTACCTCACCCAAAGCATCGAAGCCGGAAATCGTTCACTTGCCTGGCTTGTACTCCCTCACAGCTTGCTCCTCCGCTTCCTTCTTGTTGCCTCCGACCTGCTCCAAGGTTGGGGTTACCCCTAAACCCTGAACCCTAAATCCCCCCGAACCCCTAAAACTGGAAACCTAAAACCCTGAACCGCCAAGGCCAACAGTTTGGCGAGCACTCGCTCTCCATTCTCAAGCCTATACAGGGTCTTATGGGTCGCGACTAGGTTTGTAAGGAAACACTTGGGGTTTAGGGCTTGGTTTGGCTTTATAAGGCTTTTCTGTGAAGACGCCTGCAACCTAAACCCCACAGGGTGACCTGTCCACCCCCTATCAGTCCCTGTTCTCCCTGAACCTCGGGCTGACCCCAGGATCCCTATACAATTCCGAACTGGCCAAGCTGCTACATCGACCATGATGGAGGCTTCGCACTGACCGCCTGAGGCAGCTATCTCGCCCAACGCTTTCTCGGCCATTGCAGGGCACTTTGCGGGGTAAGGCATTTTCCCGGATTTTGGGATGCCCGTAGTTCGAAGCAAGGAGTACCGGAGTACCCTTGCTACGCCCAAACCAGGAATTTTGCTATTTCGGCCTCAGTAAACCCCTTGGAGTCACGCTGAGCGGAGACCGGCGGGCTGCTTGCAAGATCAGCGCGCATATTCAGTGTCGCCCGCTTCTCCCCGAAAAGAACGCGCAGTATCTCGATCCCAAGGCCTGCTACTCCGAGGAGGGGGCATGCCTGAACAAGACTATCTATCTATCTACCTATCTATCTATATATAGAGTATGTGAGGAGGTCTCGATCCCCACAGCCACAGGGTTGTCGTCGCTAAAGCTTTAGATCTTGGCCAAGGAGCTCAGGAGAATATACAGCTCGGCAGGAACATTCTCTCCTTTGGAGACGCTTTGGCCGGCTTGCACAATCTCCTGGCACCATTCATGGTTGAAGCGACACATCACGACGGGGGCCCCGAAACCGTGACCTTTGGCCAAACCCGGACACAATTTAGAACAACTTCTGCTGTTCTTGGCAGAAGGCAGCACCATTGTTTTCCGTTTACATACTCCAGGGCTTGAGGTCTGGAGTCTGGATTTTGAGGCTTATTATCGACGTCCGGTCTTACAGCACATCCTGCGTACTTCCGGGATTCCAGAAATGTTCTACTGATATTTCTAAGTGTGACTAACATTTCCAGCGCGCACCTTGGATACTTCCATCCTCGAAACTTCTCGTTCAGAGCCACAGCTCTCGACAGTGCCGCTTTTGCAAAAACGAAAACCCCCAAAATCGGTCGCTTACTAAGTAGAAGAATAGGGCTTCCGCATCCATTTTAGTATGTAAGTATATTGAAGAACCCTAAGGCACAATATTTCTAACTATCCAGGCCCCCATATTCAGCCCTTTGGCGCTCTCCAAAGGCACTCCTCTCCCTGCTTGATGATCTTTTGTCCCTGCGCGTAGGTCCGCTTCTCCTCGTGTTCGCACTAGTTGGGAATAGGTTCGACTCACGCCTACTGGCCGAACTCTCAGCCAGCTTTCTTAGACCAGCCGTTTCGGATAAGTGGCTGAACAATTTGAGGTTGTACATGTGTGTGTGTGTGCGTGTGTGTATGTCTCCTAATTATTCTGATGGCTGATGTCAAAGATGCTTCCTGACAGGCGTTTCTGCTTCGAAACTCAGAGTCGGAAGTGTAGAAACCGGGCAACACACTGCACCAATTACCTTGGACACTAAAAGACTACAACTCTTGGCCAGGCCGCGACAATGTCGGTGATTCGTATGATGAGCTCGTCATCAAACGTCTCGAAAATTGGAACCTCCGCTCTCATTCCGCATGGCAGCGCGGTCGGAGCTCATCTGACGAAGTGAACAGCAGCTCAGTAGGCATGTCGCACGAGCACTGATAAGTCCGGAAAGAGTGTCAGACTGGAGCTGCAGGACTCTGGACCCTGCTACACCTTGAAGGCCTTTGGCCCTGCGAGCTTTCTTCGTGTGTTGACTCATGACAGCTAAAGCAAAATTTTCCCCCTGCACCCCGAAGCCCCATGGCTCATCGGGATCACTTCCATATTTCAATCAGGGAGCTTGTCTTAAATACTTCTCCTTCAGAGATCTCGTGCGCATCGCAGAGCGGGTGACGATGTTGAAGTACCTGAGACGGCGAGGCGACTGCGAGCCTTCTAGCCGAAACCCTCTCTCTTCGGAGCACTGGAAATCCAAAACTGTGAACCTTAGGCAACGATGGGCCCTAAACCGTAACCCTTAAGGCCGCGGAATTCGATTTGGGCCTTACTTTTTCTCTCTCAATACCGAAGGATTCAGGACTTCCAGGGGCTGACTATTCTATAGGACAGATCCCTTCCCCCCTGTTGTGTAGCCGCCAAAGATGACGAAGTAAGACTTCTTCACGATGCGTTTATCCGTAAATGTATAATAAGCGGAACGAGCTACCATAGTAAGAACAACCAAACACTAACAAAGCAGGAGTGCAAATTGAATATCATGCCAGGAGGCGCATCTCTCCGGAGCTTACCCACAACACAGCCCTCTGAGGTTGTCATTGTCACCCGTCGCGTGAAGCCCCACCTTAGTGCTCGGTTTTACTGGCACCTGAGTTCATGCTATGGTGTGTGTGTGTGTGTGTGCTTGTATATTGTGTACATTGATCTTTATATGAATAATGGTGATGATGCTGCTGATGATGACGACGCATCAGGCACCTACTTTCCGTATTCTAGGATAACTTCCCCACAGAAGAATCCGGAATTTGCAGGTTCTGGAGCTCGGGAACAAAGGGCTTAGGCTCAGGGATGTGGGCTGCCGCCCGGCCCTGCGGAAATCGAGATTCGGCCCCAGGAAACTGATGTCTGGTTTACGCTCTCGCAATTCCGACTCTGCGCGACGAGGTCTCGCGGCTCACGCGCTCACTACAGTAGACTACACTAGAGCTGTGGATCAGATAAACACCAAAGGCCGAACCTGATGTCTGGCTTCAGGTTGAGGATTTTACTAGGGATAAACTACCTACATATCTGCTGTCCCACCCCAGGTAGACTGTACCTGGTAGCAATCTGTGTTGCAAGGTGCATTCCAATCATAGCTTGGGGTTTAGGGCTTTATTTGGATTTAGGTTGTCCCACTTCGGATGGAATGGGCGTAAACATCACGTAGGATTGATTTCATTGTCGACAAAACCAACTCTCCTTCTCAACGAGACATGGTCAATGCCCAACAAACGGGTCTGCGTGAGAAGCGACAGCATCGTGTGTTCTCCGAAGAACTGTCCCTCCTCGAACCTCAGAGTAGCGTGGACATGACATGCATTGTGGCCTGAGCAACTCGAACATGGTTTTGGAGTTTTCTGAAGTCATACGGCGGATTTCAGGGGAAAGCTATGCGTTGGTATGTGTTTCGACCCCAAGTTACCAAGTTACAAGGTTAAGGTCCAAAGCTGCATCATCCATCCCGAGCCAAGACTTAGGGCATGATCTCCTTGAGCTAGCAGCCGAGCTGAGAACGAGTGGCTCATGGAATGCGTGTGCTTAGCTTAAACAATCATGAACTGGCCTGATGACGTGTGCAAGGGGGACGAGTTGCAAGCGAACATGGCCCACTACACTGCCAAGCATCCTCCATAATTACGATTGATATTGACAAGCTCCTTGAACACAAAACCACGAAGCCGTTTGCCATGAAAGCACTTAACTTGCTTTTGCAGCGGTGCCTTGGCCGCCCGGATTACAACCCAAGTTATAAGCTCAACATCTGCACTTATCTGTGCGACCGCAAGACCGCAAATATCAAGATCGCAGGCCAAGCCTGCCACACGTTCAACCCAAGCTCCGCAAAGCAACACAATTACCAAAGACAGTCTAGCGTCGTCACCCATCTGCTCTTCGATCTCCTCCGTCACTCATGTTTCAAGGTCTCTCGGTTAATAGCTTGGGAAAGGCCCTTCGAAATCCGGGTTTCTGGGTGGCTCTTGAAAGGAATGCTGGAGCCTCTGCCCATCTTGGTGTGGATACAGGGTGGTAACACTTGCGGCGCCGAGGGGAAGGTGCTGTGGATTCTGTCAACAGTGCCACCCATTCAAGAAACTTTTTGTGTTAACATGTAAAATCACAAGCCTCCGGAAAAGCCGTACTCTCACGCCGCAGTCGTGTACGAACATGCTGCGAGTTGCATCATAGTCTAGTAGTGTGATGCAACAATAATAGCTGCAGCATCAGTGGCTGCTGATTGTCGTACGTAGTATCTAGTACCTGCTGTGAAGTGTACAGTGTGTAGTGTGTAGCGCATGAGTAGTAGTAGTAGTAGTAGTAGTAGTTAGTAGTAGTAGTAGTAGTAGTAGTAGTAGTAGTAGTAGTTTAGTAGTAGTAGTAGTAGTAGTAGTAGTAACAATCGTAGTAGTGGTAGTAGTACTGGTAATGGTAGTAGTAGTAGCAGCAGCAGCAGTAGTACGAGTAGCAGCAGCAGCAGCAGCAGCAGCAGCAGCAGCAGCAGTAACAATAGATCGTAAGACGAAGAAGTGGAAGTAGAAATAGAAGTAATTCTAAACGAAGATGTTGACCTATCACTAGAAGTAGTAGAAGAAACATGAGGAGCGGTAGCTGCGATTGTTGTGCCGGGAATCTTGGTCAAGCCACTACATATAACACGGACAGCCCGGCCTGAAAATGTTGTCGCTCTGATCAACGTCCTCCGCTTCAGCTATGACTTGCCCCGAGATGAGGACGAAGCCACTTCTGACGGACACACAACAGGGATAGCGGCCTTGATGATTAGGATAGTCTTTGTGGCCATAATTACTTCGGTTGCTCTAGGGATATTGGAGGCCTTCCGCCAAGACGAATTGACGAAACAGAAACGAACGCGTGAACCTGACACCTGAAACCCTGGCTACTTCTAAACCCTGAAGATCAACTATTACACCCCAATCACTTTGGTTTGGAAATACCCTTTCAATCGCAATGCAAGCGATGCAGCTCTATCCTACCGGGGCTCTTACAAATACGGTGGATGTTAAGGGGGGTTCCTCATACCAGGACCATCGAAAGTCCAAGCTAGGGTTTTGTCTGCAAGTCGCGCAGTTAAGCGTATACTCCACAATCTATGCTCGGACTCCTCCCTGAATGGGAAGCTTCTGAAGCAGAGGACTTGAATAATCATGGGGTGGGGAGTCTTTAAGCAAAAACGGGCATTTGGGGCGTAGGGATCCTCGTTAAAGGTGCCTGAATGTGTGCACGAAATCCTACTGTGTCATTTAGCTGCAATGAAGCAGTTCGGTTTTGTCGCTAAAAGAATTACACCACCTCAAGTGGGCCTTATTTTCGCTGGCGGTTGGCTTTGCCCGGTGTTGCCTGGGACTGAAGACTCGGAACACTGGGGCCCTTCACCGCCTTGACCCCAAATCCAGCTGTGCCTACCATACTCGCCTTTGGTGTAGATGGTATCGCGAGGCTGGAAGCCTCGGATGGGTGAAGGCCAGCGGAAACAAGGACCGGAAGCCTGCTTTTTGCAGACTCTTACGGTCCTTACGGTGATCACGACCTATAGAGAGCCGAAGAGTGATTAATGGCGGGATATATTCAACATTCACCTTTGCATGGTTGAAGGTATACTCCTCATTATTAAAGTCTCTCATGTTTTCTGGGGATAGAAGGGGAAACATGTGAACTGCTTGCTGCAGTACGACTTCGAGAGGACAGCAGTAGCAGCACCATAAAGCTGCAACAGAGCAATAGCAAGGCAGTTGCGCTGGCGGTAATGACAAACCTTGGTTGGGTGAGTATGCCGCAAGCCTTCAGAAGAAAGATTTCGGCAGAAACTGGTTGGCACAGCAGGGGTCATTCTGTCAGGGGAATGCTCCCTTCTTGATCTAGTTCAGATCTTCGGAGTCTGAATACTAGGCCCCACAATAAAAGGGTCGGAACACCAGCAGCAACAATTTTACTAGAATGACGTATTCAAGCTCCGATGTTAAGGCCCCTGGCGGCAACCAGAAGGCCACTGAAAACGAGTGCCGGGATACTAACGACCTCGATGGCATCCACGATGGTGTGCAAGTCCTCAGCACGGCTGCATGCACTGTAAGCTCATGCTCCACGATCCGGTCGTGACTCCCTACACTGCAGCACTTAGGTGCCTTTTCACTGCAGCACTTCACCATATCATGTTTACGCACTTTTGAGCATAAAGCATGATAGCCTTCTTCAGGGAGCTTACCTTACGCAGTCGGATATTATATAGCTTGGCCCAGGCGTCTGGCCGGAAGGCAAACTGCCAGAGTTCCGCACTGCCTGCACTAGACCGTTCATCCTGAACGCTCTAAACGCTAAATACTAAACCCTTTTTACTGAAACCCCTGAGCCTCAAATCACTAAAGCCCTTAACCCTAAACCCAAACTCTTGCAAAGGGAATGACAACTTTCGGCTCGCTCTCTGCTCTATCGGTTTCTCCATGTCAGCCTGGAATGTAAGGCGCAAACGCTGCGAAGCTGCACTGACGTGCTAATTCCAGGATACCCAAAGAAACGACACAACGGTGCAGCAACGTCTAGAGCAAAGTTTGGGGTGACACATATACAAAAGAATCTTGGGATCAGGTGCAGATTCCAAACAAACCTTGACAAACGGCAACAAAAACTGAGCGGCCCAGAGCAAAACTTAAAGTCCCAGCCAGCCATTTGGTTAGTTGCCGTCAGCTGGCTCGCTCCTCCACACCCTGGAAAATGGGACAGGTCCTCGGCTCTAGGATAGGTTTAGGCTTGAATCACTTCGACGAACCGTGTAGCTCACCTTCGGCATTTGTGGCTAACCTTGCTACAAATTTGAACACGAAACCAAACGTTTTTGTGGATTCAGCCAATGCCAGGAGGTGTTCAAGACTTCGTTGATGGAAAGAAGTGCTTCTTGAAGCTCTGGCTTGGAGCTAGGTTAGTGTGAGCAAAGCTTTAAAACGAAGCTCGGGCCTAGAACCGTATATAGTATTTGTCAAAAACACTATTCTTATTCTAGCTACTGCGTGCAAGGATCCTCACTGCACAAAGCAGCTTGATTCGATGTTCCTCCGACTTTCTGTAGAAAGGTGCGGTCCACTCGGCCCAACCTCAGCACTGTTGGCGCGGGGATTGACAGATTCGGACTCAAAATTCCTAAAGCTTGGATTTCAGTTCGGGGCGTGGACCCCCCCATGACAGAAAGTCATGGTAGAGGTCTCTCACTGAACAGGGAAGACGAGTCTTACTGTGGGGGCCCTGCACGAATAGTGCTTTTCCTCAAACTGGTGGTGCGAATCACACTTGTGATGGTGGCGACGTCGTTGGATCGTTGTCATCATGCGGGCCGTGCTGTAAACACGAGCGGCATGGAAACGCCTGTGTCTGTGGTGATGGAGGGGGGGGAGGAAACGACGACCCCAGTGTCTGCCTGTTGGGCCTGTGGTAGCATTGCACCTTCTCGCACTCCGGAATATTCCTTGTCCGACTCCTGATACTCCTACAACTGCTACTACTACTACTACTACTACTTCTTATTATTATTACTGTACGACCACTACTACCACTTCCATTACCACTACCACTACCACTACCACTGCCACTGCCACTGCCACTGCCACTACCACTACCACTCCCACTCCGACTCCCACTGCCACTACCACTACCACCACTACCACTATCACTACTACCACTACGACTACTACCACTACGACTACTACGACTACCACTACTACCACTACGACTACTACCACTGC